CCAATACAGGGGATAATATCTTTAGGTTTGCCTGATACTTCTGTTTTCTTAAGAATGTCCTGCACCTCAGCAGCACCACAGATGAACAATTGCTTAGATGGACCTTTGACCTGAACCAAAATGTCCCATCTTCTGGTGGGTTTTCTTAGCCTGGTTTTGCTTTCAGTGGGTAGAGCATCTCCATTTGAATAGTGGTGTTTGATTACATGTGTCACTACCTCAGAACCCTGTGATCATCTGCATGTGAGGGGTTTGTGCTGTTGATCTTGTGCACGTTGTGTGTGACAGGCACTTGTACACAGGTTTCTCTGACTGCAGTGCCTGCTGGAATGAGGGTACCTCTGACAGTGGTATGAGGGAATAAAATACCTGAGCCTTGGAAAGCCTCCCTGCGTTCCTGATGTATAAGAGTAGAATTTATGGGCTTTCTTCAACAATGTTTAACCAAAGAGAGGAATGGAAAAGAGGGAAAAGAGTGATGCTCCGAACATGAAGTGCATGGCAACTGCCTGGTAGATATCTGGAACAAGATAACCCCTGGTTCATGTTGCATTTTGAAGCTACACTTTGTCAGTCAGTCTGTTCCTGGAACTATGCACTGATCAGGCTCAAAGTCATCAAGTAACCCAGTGAGACCTTCTGAGGATTCTGCATGGAATTCTGCTCCTGGCAGAACTTTGCCCTGGGCTTCTCCTGAGGCTCTGACACACACAGCAGGAGTGCTTTGACCAGCTCAGAGGAACATCTGCTCCAGCTCAGTGCAGGGCACAGAAGGGACACAGCCAGCACTGCCTTACTGTTCTACCCACAACTGCCACACACCCACGTACCTGCACATCATAAGGGGGAAGAGCTTTTCCCAAAGAGCCAGGTTTAATTTTCATTCCTTTCGTATTGGCACAGATTGTGACCTGCAGAATAGATTTTTAAAAAACTTTTTAAAATTATTGCAACATCTTGTAAATTTTGTTATTGTTTATGTTAGACAGGGCTCCTCTTTGTGACTTTCTTGTGACAAGGGCTGAATCAGGATCACAGCACTGTGGTTCTTGAGAACATCAGAGAATCTGGGATGTGAGCTGCTTTAATATTCTTCACTAAACCTCAGGACAAATTGATACCCAGAGGAAATAATCTATTTTAGTTTGGCTTTTGAAGTAAAGATGGTGAAGGGTTTTACTACAAGTAATTACATTTATTGCAAACGTACTGTTTCGCTCTGGCCATAACCTTCATGGATATCCAGCCCTGTCTGGATTTTCCACTTCACCAACACTTCAGGATTGAGTGCTTCCCCTCCAGTTACACAGTGTTTCAGACTCGGGAACTTGTAGCTTGAGAGGAAGAGCAAATTAAATAATTTTCTTAACTCTTGACAAGAGCAGTAAATAGACTTAACAAAACAGCCTCCCTCAGCTTTCCAAGGAAGTATACCTAAAACTTCACAAGCTCTTTTGGAAATGACAATCATCATCCTCTTATGCACACCTGGGATAGACTCCTAGATTGCTTGAGTTGCCACTGAAGATGATGTGATTTATCTCAGTGTCACTAGAAGGAGGTTTTTCTGCTGGAAAACACATGAGCAAAGTGTTTCCTTGGAAGAATTGAAATGAAAGGAGAAATCCGAATAAGCACATCAGATGTGTGTGGAAGGCTGAGTTATGTGCCAACATCCAAGATCAGATATAACAGAGAATTTTCTAGAGCAGAAGGAAGGATGAATAGGTACACAGAGGCTGAACTCTGCTAAACTTGGGTTGGCTTTTGGCAGGACCTGTGTGACAAGAATACCTTATCAAAGATGTCAAAACTCCTTGCAAATCGCTCCTCACAATCTGGGTATTTTACAGAATAACAAACTGGTGGGAACAGCTACCAAATAACTCTCAGCATGTGAAACTCCTCTAACTGCTCCCTTCATTCTCAAGTATGTGAGAACAACTCCACTGTACTCCTGATCCAATGCTGCCTAAAACATTGGCTTAAACAGAACTGTGTACCCTAAGTTCAGAAGAAATGTCAACTTAAAAAACCCCTCCATTGTTTCCTCTGTGCTGCCTTTTCAAAGACCCAGTCCTGACACCCAAGTAGCACACTGCGTGACTAATTATTCTCACATTTCAGAACTGTGAGCCTTCTTTACTGAGAGCAAGCTGTGCTAGTTAGGTTTCCTTTAACTGAAAAAGAGAATTCAGGAAGCTAAGGAAGAAAGCATCCAGAGCTGTCCCAGCATTACAGCCCAGCCTCCCTCCCCTCCCTGCTGTACCTGCTCACATCATGTTGGACCAGCATGCGGAAGGCGGTGGGAGCCGTGCAGAAGGCGGTGATGGGGTATCTTGAGAGTGTCTAGAAAAACAGGAAGTTATTTATTTGAAAAGAAAGTGTAATGCTGGCTCTGACCTTGTGAATGTGCAGGTGATTAAGAAAGGAGGCCAGGCTTAAGGGGAATCAATCAGCTGATTGGTTTAAAGTGCCTTTGGAGAGGAATACACACACTGGAAATTCTGCAAAACAGAGCCTTAATTCATGTTCATACCATACTCTGATTACTAGCCCATACTCAGTCTGACCCCACGGCAGCTGGAAGTCCATACTTGTAGTGAGGTTTAGGTTCAATATTGGACGACACAGCAGTGATCCCAAGATCTTCATATCCTGCATCTTTCTGCAATTGTCCTCTACACTCGAGCCATGACACATAGCCTAACCAGGAGGGAAAGCTCTTGCTGCTTGAGCTTAATGGGGACCAAATGGAGGGATGATTCCTTGGGATGTGGGAAGTACTGTCCCTGCTGCTGCTGCTGAGCAGTGGCACTCATGGCCTGGAGCCCAGTTTGTTTTCTTCATTTATGTAAAATGGAAATAAACATCACAGTATAAAATATTAAGCTTACCTTTGCAATAACTTCTGGTTTAAACTGTGGCATATTGTGTACAAAGACACAGGATCCACAGATCCATGGTGCAAAAAGACTGCCCCAAGCTGCTTTTACCCAGCCAGTATCAGAGGTATTCCACATTATATCTGAAGGAGTCAAGTTCATCCAATACCTGATGAAAAAGCAGAGATGAAAGAAATGCTGCAGAGAATGTGAGAGACTCAAGCCTAGGTCACAGCAGGAGGCTTCCATTAGAAGATGTGGTGTCAGCAAGTGGGGCTCTGTAGAAAGTGTGAGAGAGCTGAAGAGTCTTAAATATTCTCTGATTTCCCTTTATTCTCTCCTGCTTAATATTTCAAGCATTTGTTTTTCTCGTGAGCAGTGCAAAACATTTTTGTCTTGAGTTGCAGAATCTAGAGCCCACAGAGATCATTTGGAGTAGGCTTTCCCCACCTGGTGCAGTTGAGACATCAGCTAAGCAACAGCTCATTTCTCCAGGAAACTAAACAAGTTGCTTCTCTGGACCCCTGACTGTCAGCTGACCTGACTGTCAGCTTCCAACTCAGAATGCTTTGGGAAAGGTATCCTTTAACTTTCAAGATGAGGACGATACAAGATCCTACAGTCATGAAATGCCTACATTTACTGGAATTTTATGGTCACACGTTCAGTTTAATGGTGATCAGTCACTTAATCAGGACCCTGGGAGGAAATGCAAGGTCAAACCTGCCAGTGGTTGCAAATCCGATGCCGTAACTGCTGTGGGAATGCACTGCCATTTTTGGGAAGCCTGTAGTTCCACTGGTAAAATAGATCAGCATTGGGTCTTGACTCCTTGACTTGACACATTGATGGTCAGCAGATGCAGCCCTTTGGAAGAAATGGCATATTCCAGTCACTACATGAAGTTTTCCACCAGGGAAACAGCATTTTTATTGTTTAGGAGTTCAACAGGGAAATTCTGTTGAATTTGAGTTCCCCAAACTGAATATCTCACTAAATAAGAGGTAACACAGGTAAGAACAGTTAGAGAACATTTTGCTTGTAACAAGTATGCCCTGTATGCCATAACATTTAAGATATGAGCACCTACGGAATATTTCAGTGACTTTGCCACTGTTTTAGCAAGGGCACTCTAGATGCTGATTATGGAACAGCAGCCAGAAATCAGTGTCTGCCTCACACAAGCAAAAACCAGCCCCCAACTTGAAATCAATAACTAAGATTATTATGCCAAGTACATTGGTCTTATTGCTAATAGTATATAATTTATGTTCAAGAGACTGATGAACAATTCAGATCCTCTGAGCTACCAGGACAGTAAAGGGAAGAAAGAACTGAGCACCAAGAGCTGGCAATGTGTATTTTCCCATTTAATCAAAAGCAATTAGAATGGGCTCTAGCAGACAAGCTCAGAACAATTGTTTAGAACTCTGTGTGCTTGTCTGATGATCACAATAGAAGCAGAGAGCTTCTAAAAGCTGGCAGGCTGCGAAGTAAAACTGAAGGACATGAAACTGATTCCCAAAACCTGGATTGGACGAACCTCTACCGGTGTTATCACAAAACAGGGAGCTGACAGAGGGCTGCAAAAACGTAATTCATTTGTATTTTGAAAATTACCTCCACAACTCAGCAATGCCACCTGACTGGTACAGCTCCCTTCACCTCACAGGTGTGATGGTGAAAGAGCTGGATACTCACGCAAGGAGTTCTTTGAGGTTCAGCCACCCATCCCTGCTCCCTTGGCCTACAATGAGTTTACTTTTCAGGAACTGGCTGCCAGGCAGGACAGATTCCACTGCAGGTGCCAGTGTGTCGTTGGTAATGATGCACTTGGCCTTGGAAGCTTGGAGTCGGTATGAGATATCTTTGGCTGTTAATTGGGATGTTCCTGGAATAAAGACAATTCCTGGAAAAAAGCAAGAAGTAATTGAGAAAACTCAGCATTTCCCAAAACTACTTGATTACGTCTCTCTGTTGATGCTGATTTTATCCATCCTGGATGTTTAGCAGTTTAAAAGCAGAGCAAAATAGATATATTGAATTATTAATGATTCTAATCATATACATTCTTCCATTATGAATTCAGCTGCCTTACAATGTTTGTGGTCAAGTCTGGCCTTAGGTTGCAGCTGTTCAACCCTCACCAGCTTCACCTGAGGATGAGTTTGACTGGACCATGTCTGGCCCTGTGGTTGCTGTGTGGGTGCTGCCAATTCTCCTTCTAGGCAACAGATCAGTTGTAGAGGTCACAGCAGAATATTCCCGTTTGCATTTTCTTCTCCCTGATCTAATCCATGGCTTGCACCCTCTATTTGCTTTCTCTCTGCACCCAAGACGTCAGTGAGTCCCTCACCTGCTCGCATGCAGGCCACATTCAGGAGCCACCACTCAGGAACACGAGGCAGAATTGCTGTAACTCTGTCTCCTCTCTGCAAACCACAGGCCTCAGAAAGTACATTGGCTGCCTTCCTGGTCAGAGAGCCCAGCTCCTGAAAGCTCCACTTCACCTCCTCTCCCTTGTCATTGACCCACCAAAAAGCTGGATTTGCTGGTTTTCTTCCATCCTACAACATGTGAGAAGATATTAAGATAAGACAAACTTCATAAGGTTTCTCTTCAATATAAATCATCCTTGGCAACTCGTCTCTTGTAGTGATACCCATCTTTCTAACAAACAAAATAAAATGGTGTCAATACAATTCAGTAGCCATTAGTAAAACTGTATAATCTGATATTTGTTCCACTGTGTCCTGGTTTTGATGGGATAAAGTAAGCACTGCTTAGCAACAATTAAGTCAAGGATTTTCCAGTTTCCCACACTCTGCCAACAAAGAGGTGCATGAGAAGCTGGAAGGTTTCCTAGATAGGACAGCTGACCTGAACTGTCCAAAGGGATATTTCACAGCACAGAAGGTCCTGCTCAGTTTATACCCTGCTGGGAAGTTTTTTGGGAAGTGCCAGTCACTGTTTGGGGACAGGCTGGGTGTTAACCAATGGGTAGTGGGCAATTGTGTTGTGCATCATTCATCTTTTCTGTGTTTTCTTTGTTGCTCTCTCCTTTTGTTATCTCCCTTTTCATCACTACTATTTCTAGTAATACTTCTACAATAGTGATAATTAATAGTAATCTTCTTATTATATTTTTTTCAATTTTTAAACTTCTTTCCTCAACCCATGGGTTTTACCTTTATTTTCTCCTGATCCTCCTCCCCATCCCACTGGGATTGTCTGTGTGTGTGATCCAGGGGCTCTGTGGTCCTCAGCTGACAGCTGGGGTTAAACTACAACTCAGTGTCTATAAAATAAAAGATAAATACTACCTTTTCCAGTTGTGCCCACTCATCTAAGACATCACTTGCAAAGTTGAAATATTCTGGCAGTTCCTTTTTATTCTGGATTATAGATTCATAATGGGAAATAATCTGAGATGTAAGAAGTCTGTTGTTTCCATGGAATGATCTGCAAGGTGACCTGAGAATCCACAAACACTGAGGAATCCAGGATTTAATAAATGTTCTCATGATAAATGATGTTTTATCAGACAGTGAGGGGGAGAATCAGGTGCACATCTAAAGAATCAGTCACCTGGAAAGAAAGAAAATACATTTAAACCAATCCAGTTATTGGATGCTGTCCCATGGACGATGTTGGATGAATTAATGCAAAGCAGCTTGAATAAATAGGTTGTTTGAACATATCCATGTTTTCTTTATTATTTTATGTTCCTCCTTTTCTTGTAAAGGGATTGTGCACCGCTTTTCATTAGAATATTTGTCCTCTACTTTGATGAATGACTCTCATATCTCATCTCTAAAATTTCACTTGCCAGTCCTTTTCTCAATATCTATGTCTGCATTCCTATAAATTTTATGTTACTTTGCCTGCTTACAGAAATAACATGCCACTACTTTTAAAGTGTTTTAGGAGACTATCACCTTGACTTAAAACTGTCTCTGTAATTATGTTATGCCTTAAACCTGCACTAGATGGCGAGTCACACTGAATTTATGCACCAATAAAACTGATGAATCTCTGATTTATTTTCTTATGAGTTCTATTTTCTTTGAGGGCATGGAATAAACACAAAATAGACAGTAAATGAGCAAAGGTGAAGTGCCAAAACTTCCATTTGCTTTGCACTTCAGCTGAAGTGTGCAGCTTGGGAAAAGATACATGTAAAATAAACTTGCAAAGAAAATACCAACATTTCCAGTTTCTCCTGGTCTTTTCAACATAACATATAGGTACATATAGAAGAGACAGAATGGATAATGCCACAGGTTTTTAAAACCCTGAAAGCCACGAAAACTGGATTTTCACTCACAGTTGAATCATCAGATAAACTTGTTTTGAGTGTAATGAGCTCTTTAAGGCTGTGCCCATATATCTGAGGGAATTTTCCCCCAATTCAATGAAATCAGCTTTGCTTTTAAACTTTTTTGTGTCATGATGTTGTCCTTATCTAATAGCCAGCAGTCCATAACTATCTCCCAGGGATTCTATGTAGTTACTTTCACCTTTGCATTATTTATTGCAAGTGTAGATGTAGTGAGAGCTTCCAGTGTTCAGTGCCAATAAATAACAGCAACTGGCATCACTCTGAAATCACTGTCTTTGTGAGGCAAACCAGAGAAACTGAGACAGAAGGTGCACATGTGAGGCATGTCTTAATGGTTCTTGATCACATCAGAATATTATTTATCCTGAATCCAGTGTTTCCTGCTGACTGGACTGTGACTTCTGCAGAGGGCAGCTTTTCCATAACTCTCAAACTACAAAGCACAAAAAGAAAGGCAAAGCTAGCTAGCACTGACAAAGAAATGCACAGAACATGACCTTATCTGCTCTAAGTCTAAAAGAAAATATTGCTCTCCACCAGTTCAGTTCCACTAAATCTCACTCCTTTTCTCATTGCAAATCTGTCCTGGCAGGATGGACTGTGGTATGATCCTCCTTTTTCTGCAGTTTCCTTTCAGGACATGGAGGTTAGAAGCCCTTTCCATGATGGAGCCTATTTCCTGGTAGGAGGTTTCCAGGAGGGAATTCAGTTGATGGCTATTTGTTTTAGTGGCAGACAGGGGAAAACCAGCTCTGCCAGCAAATGGTTTTGTCATCCTACCTTTGTTCTGGGAGCCTTAGGCTGTGTTCTGAGCTTAAACACTGCCTGCTCAGCTCAAACAGGCCTTGTTAGTTTTAACCTGCAATTCTGACAGATGCTTTTCAACCTTACTTGTATGTTGCTTGAAAGACATCTTTGTTATGAAGAGAGAGACCACAAAGTCAAATGGGAGACTCTTATCTTTCTGTTTCTTTTTCTCCTTTAGTACCTGATTGCTGAATCTGTATTTATGTGTGATCTTATCTTGCAGGCAGCCTGAATACACAGCTCCTGATTTCATTAGGCACGCTCTACAAATACTAATAGAACACATCTCAAGGTGCATTACAACGCAGAGCTTTTGAGATTGATAGAAAAGAGTTTGCTGGAAACCCAGCCCCACTCACAGCAGGCATGAAAAGAGATAAAATTCCAGCAATATGCCCCCCAAGATCCTGTATCAACAGAAAATGGAGGCTACTAAATCAACCCCCATGATGAACATTCATTCTTTTTAGTGGTGCCCTCCTGAATAGAAAGTCTCCTAAAAGCACGAGGTGGAAAGCATCACTCCCTATTCCTCAAGAAGAGGAAAGAGTCTTTATTGAAGGAATTTGTTCTTGGTTCTACTCATCCAGACCCACCTGTTGTCAAGCCAGGTCTGTCCTTCATGCCACTGAAACAACCCCTAGAATACCTGATCTGCCCTACCAGCTACAGCTTTGGGGGTAAGGTTCACAAATTTCAGCAGAGTTTAAGGGTCAAAGGTGTTTCTGCTACAACTACAGACTGGCAGACATTTACAGAAATAATAATTCCTTGGTAAACTGAAGGAATTCCAAAATCTCAATATTTCTGTAAGATATTTTTTAAAGGTTCAGAAAAGACTGTCTAGGGAGGCCTCATAGTTCACATGCATAGCTGATAGACATCCTAAGGATGAATTGCTACATTTAATCTGTTCAGTTTATTGCACAGAAAATTGTGTTACCACTGAAAACCAATGGTAAAATCTTCTGGTTTAACCCACAAAGTAGAATCTTACTTGAGATTACAACTTGGCACTTATGTACAGAGGGGAGCCCCACAGACAAGACATCAAAAAATTACAGACATTAAAATTACCTATGCAAAGAAATGAGAGTTTTCCCCTGACTTCAGCAAGCTCTCAGTCAAATCCACAATTAGTAGATCTGTAAGTGCAGGAGACAAACAAATATTAAATGGAGGAGCAGCCCTCAAATACTGTGCCAGGTGCCTGACCTTCTTTGTCTGCAGCCCTGACAAGAGAAGAGTGTCTAATTACACCAGCACACTGAATCCACTCGTGCTTCTGTAGGCAAATGTTTCCTCCTGTGCTCTTTCACCTTCCCTGTGGGTTGTTTGTTTACAGAAACAGTAAACCCAAATTCCCTATAAATACTTCCCTCTCACAACCACTACTAAAGATGGGGAAGTACTTAACTAATTTAATCTTCCCATGGAAAGGTGCAGTTGCCTCCACTGGTGGTAGACTGTTATCAACCTTATCAGCCTCTTGTTTTGGCTGATACAGCTGCAGACATTTCAGCAGCAAACCCTACTGCTTAATGCTCCTTTGCTGCTTTCTTTTTCAGTATCTGCATAAAGGCAGGACAAGATGAACACACATACATTTTTCCTTCTTCTCCTCTTGTTTCTCAAAGGCTTTCTACCAGCAAACAGCATAAGCCCAAATGAAGCAAAGCTAAAGAAAACCAAACTCCCCAAAATAAAAAAGGAGAACCACGTCCTCTTGCTGAAAACGAGCAACTTTGACAGAGCATTGAAGGAGACCAAATACCTCCTGGTGAAGTTCTGTGAGTATCAATTTCCACTCCCTTACCCTGGTGGCTCTGCAGAGAATGGCTGATGTTGGGGCACTCACAAATGCTTGTTTTACCATTGTTTTGTCCCCTAGTAGTCCTTGTTTGTTTTGGTTTCCTCCATGTATCTATTTCTGATTGTAACTACAGTAATTTATTCTTTTTTGGGGTAGTTAAATACCAGTCTGCTCCATAAGACAGTGCTGAGTTGGCATTCTTTGCTTCCACTGCCTAATTTTGCAAGTATGTGTTTCACAGCAGTGATGGGTAAAACATATTAAAAAACACCCAACCAAACAAAAGTTAATCAGAGAGTGCTTTTCTCCCTCTTACATTTTCATCAGCACTTTGTATGAGGTTTTTTGGATGGCGTCTCCCCTCTGTGAGTGTTTAGGCTTCAGGGATTGTCTTTTTACAATATTTTTATGTCAGTAGTTGCATTATATTCTTTTTCCCTGAAAGGAGTGCTTGATTAGGTAGAGGCATGTTTGCAGTCCTTCTTTAAGGTTCATGTTCGTTCCTCCTGGGGAGAAAACTGGTGGGGTTTTTGAGTAATTAACTTTGTTATAAGGTCTGGCTATCAAGTACATCACAAAGGCAAAAGGCAAGAAGCTGATTCTTGTGATGTTACCTAGATGCTGCATAATTTTCCATGCCACAAACAGGGATCTGCACTGGCCAGCAGCTTGCTGGTAGCAGAAACCCTTTGATCTTCATGAGGCAGCAAAATCTTTGCCTATTGCTTGGGCTTGACCTTGCTCTGCTGAGCCAAATTCCCTGAGCTCAGTGCACATGTCCCCTTAACCTTAAATTACACAAACTGGTGCAAACCAGCCCCTCTTTGGAAGCAAGTGGCAGACATAGGCACAAGCTGAACCCCCAAACTGTTCCATATTTTGAAGAGATATTTGAAATTAGAGCAATATCCTAATTTTGCAGATGTGCATCTAATTTGTTCTTTTGCATCACTACCAAATGTGGATTTTGCTGCTGATAATATAATTAATATAGTTAATGTAATTAATATAATATAACATAACATATTATATACAATAAAATATTTAATATTTATATATAGTAATATATAATATTATATATACATATAATAATATGTACAATATAATAGTTTAGCAATAAACAATAAAGATAATAATATAAATAATAATGATGATAATGATGATGATAATGATGATGACGATGATACTAATAGTACTAATAGTACTAATAGTACTAATAGTACTAATAGTAATAGTAATAATAATAATAATAATAATAATAATAATAATAATAATAATAATAATAATAATGTAGTGTAGGTCAACCTGAAATGAAAACATTTGTATTTCCAACACAAAACCTAAAGTGTAATAACAGACTCAGGAAACTATAAATATATTTGCATCATACCAAGCATTTCATTAATCCTGAGAAAGGGTTACAAAACTTCAAGTGTTTTTAAACTTTCAGAATAATCACATTAGAAAATTATTTAAAACATAATGTCTAAAAATTTTAGATACTACTGAAAGTGTTGAAATTTAGGAAAATTTTGTTTACTAATTGCGGAGGATTTAAAGCTATTTGCCAAATTCAATCTGCAGTTGTGAATTGTTTTATTTTTCTGGAGATGCACACTTTTGGTGAGAAAATGACTTACCAGAAAAACCTTAGTCATTCTGTGTTCTCTTCTTTGTTTCAAAGCACAGGATAGAAATGGCCAGGTCAGAGTAGAGTTTGTTGACAAACTTTATTAGTACTGGCAAAGATTAGTAACAGTGAGATATTGCAACACACTTCTGCATTGCAACCAAGTCTGAGTGGAAAACAGACTTGAAAAAATTCATAAAGAGACAGGAGATGGAGAAAGAATTGTTCAGAATAAAGTAGCATGAGGACTTGGAAACTCAGAGGATGTGGGGATCTAAATCAAACTTCCTTGGCCCTTCTCCAGAGCAGAGTTTTGGACCTCTCTGATTTCCCACCACCCTCACACCTTGCTCCAGCAAACTTCATCACTTTCTGCTTTGGATCAAAGGCCAACATGTCTATCTAAGGGCTTACTGAAAACTCATGGATTTCCCCCACAAACCATAAAGGCATCTACAGTCTCTGGAAAGAATTATGGAATCACTCCCAAGAGTGATGAGCTCCACAGCACAGATCCATTATCTGGAAATCACTGGCCTCAGTCTCCCTTTGGAGACATGCCACTAAACAGCCTCTGGGGCAGTGAAAAACTATCCTGCAGTCAGGCACTGCCCTGTAGGAAACCTGACCCCACAATGCTGAATGAGCTGATTCATTTGCTGGAATTACTTCATTGCCACAGCCCAAGGAGACTAAAATGGGACCTGCACAGAAAAGCTAAAAAGCCCTAATCTTTTATATCCTACTTCTTAAAAGTCTATCTAAATAAACAATTAGTGTTAACAAGGAACTATTAAGGAAACTTAGATAATGTTAAAGAAAACAATATTGCCCAGATGACCCAGGAAATCTGTGAGGCTGCCAGGAATCATCTTAAGAAATCCAGAACTAAAGTGAGACCTGAGATCTTTTTCTTCCTGACTCATCAGTGAACACAGAGATATAAAGAGTGGGAAGGAATCCCAGGCTTCCCAGAAGATGGGATTTCTTCTGGTGCTGTACCAACACCAGAAAAGTTTGAGCACAAACTTTGATTCAGACTGTGCCTTAGACCACCTATCAATTACAAGAAAACCCCAATGCTTTCCTTGTTGCATAATGTTGTTTACTTACCAGTCTCGCTGTACTTGTCAGGTGAAGTCTGCTTTGATGTTTTCTGCCCAGTGACCCCCAAGACTTTTGAACACCTGTCAGTTCCACCCTCACAGTGCCCCAGGTCTGCCTTCCTTCAGGAAGGGTTACTATAAATACATGCTGACTTTTGGCCAGGCAGTGTACAGATCCCTCTGGGGTTGGGCAAAGTTCACTTTGTGAAAGCAAAGCACTGACCCAGAAACCCGGCACTCTTCCTCTCTCATCCCAGCTGTTTTGTGCAAGAAGAAATGTCTGAAAACTGCATCACCCAGCAATGTGTGAGTCCTGCCCAGCACCTAATCTCAGCACTCAATTCAAAGGGCTCTTCTGCTGCAGGCTGTGGCATCTCCCAATCCATGTTAAACTGATCTGAATTCCACACAAATGCTTACAGCACAGAGAATTCCGAGCACTTGTCACCAGCAGAAGGGAGACCTTTGATCAGTGCTACCTGCACTGGAGAGTTTCACTGTTTACACTACACACTGCCTGAATCTAAGTCCCTCTGCTGACTTTCACTGCAGAGAAAAGCAAATAACCACCATAAGAAGTCTCAATCACTCTAACAAATATGCCTATCACAGAGAGAATGAACTTTGGGCACTTCAAAACACAAACACTAAAAGCACTGCTTTCAGAGCACATGCTAACACCATTTCCTCCAACTTATCAGAAGAATTCATGAAAAGACTCAGACCCTTGCTTTGTTCTACAGGTTTCTGAGAGTGCCTAATGCTGTTCTTTCCAGAGAAAAATTTTCAGATCCTAGATAAACATGGGGAGAACCTAAGGACAAGCACACATGTGGTGCAGACATTGTGCTGCTGCTTTGTGTGCTAAGCACACTCTCATTTATGAAAAGGTGATGTTTACCTTTTCTAGCAGGACATTTGTACATCTAGTGAGGTACTGGGTCAGCCACAGTATTCCTGCAACCTGTGAAAACCAGGAGACTGACAGCCTGTGCTGAGATAATGACATTTAATAGGCAAACGAGGGTTACTCTTGAAGACAAGCAGCTCCTTTTTAAGGCACAAATGCTGAAAGTGAAGTTATTAAGAAGAAATTGCAGTTACCTGCAGGAGAATTATTTAATAGCATAGGTCCCTCATGTAAGTGTCCCTCACACATGCTTTTTTTAGTGAATGCTTACAATAATCCAAATTAGAATAAACTCTGATGTTTACAGAGAAGAAAATCTCAAATGAACTGCAAACCTCAGTTAAAAAGCAGAGAGGTCAGCACAGGAGGTTATGGCTGTATCTCACTCTAGAAGAGGAGAATTCAAGGTCACACAAGCAAACTTGCAACTGCAGTAAGATTAACATCCTTCCAGTCTGATATGTTAAACATGAATCTATCCTTCATCTCAAGACTTTTCTACAGAGAAATTTATATATCTGTGGTGCAACTGTAAAAGCAGCCTGCACAGATGAGAAATGGGACTGCTGAAATGGTTTTGTGACCATGTCAGAAACTAACAGCCAGGAAATCAGTATCTGGCAGGACAACAGGCACATTCACAATGACTGCAGCAATCCCTAAACCATCAATTCAGACAGAATAATGAGATTGGAGGCCACCAGCAATTAGCTAAAGGAAAATTAACTCATTGTGCTTCTGTGTATACCCACTTCAAGAATTCTTTAGGGTCATTAAACACATTCATGTGTCAGCAAAAGATTTATCTGTCACATTTCAATATATTTTAGCTCAGTAAACTGCACCATGAAAAAGAAGTAGCAGCTTACTCAGGTTGTCGATGCACTGAAGAGGTAAGAGTCAAAATACAGGATTTCTGGTTCTCTTCCCACTTTTAATTTTCAAACCCTTAATTTATCCTTGTTTTATTTAAAACACAGCTAAAACTACTGATAATAGAAACATTCTCCCATGTTAATATGATGCTGTTCTTGAGCTGGTTTACACTGGTTTTTGTCCTGCCCACACATGCCTTCCCTGGTGGCCTTGTCACCAGCTCTGTTGCCTCTAATCCGTGTCAGCTCTTGCTCCCTGCTGATGCTCCTCGAGTTTGGAGCCTGTGATGCCACATTAGCCCCAGCAGCTGCTTCCTCATCCCACGGCCTGAAGTGATCGGTGTCAATGAAAATCTAAACCAGAGGAAGCGAAACAAAACTCAAGAAAAGGCTCCAGATAAAAGGAGTGATGATTTCCTGCAACACTCAAACGACTTGAAAAATAAAGCACCTGGGAGGCAACCAGAGAATGAGTGGAATGAAAAGGAATTGATGGAGAGCTGAAGAGGAGTCTAATCACTCAGGAAAGCAGGGGAAAGGTGCATGATGGATGTTTCCACATGATTTCTGGGTAGTCAAGGAAACAGTTTTTATCTGTCTGTTTGCTCACTGAACTTGTGTCTCACAGTTAGCAGGTTAATGGTACTTAAAGTTCTCCTGGTCTCTGACTTCAGGAGTCATGCACTTCTCCCAGCTGCAGCATGGAGCTACTAACTCTACCAACTCCCATTATCTAAGCATGCTACTTACATTCCTAGTTAGCTGCAACTCTGGTTACTCAGGTCATTCAATGATAAGAGATCCTAAATAATCTGTTTGGAATGAAAATATTTCAGAGAAAAATGGATCTAAAGCCCTCTTCCTCCCAGACAAACTACCTAAATGTCTAATGTCTAAGTTTAATATTTCTTTTATATTTGTGAAGCTTCAGCTTCTGTGTCTGGACTTCACCAACAGTTTCTTCTGCCCCTTCTTATTTCACTGTGCAAAAAGCATTTAAGCTTCCACTTTTGCAGCTTCAGTAAAAGAGCTGTGCAAACTTAGGTTATTAGAAAAAAAAAAAAATCCTTATACTGAAATTGCCTCTGGTGTAAAACACTGACCTAGAATTAGCTGAAAGCTGCTGAATCCTGGTTCACTCTGGGGTTTCCTGACCCTTATTCCAACTGCACTGTGTCCAGAGCCACACACCCTTCCTCTTGGAAAGGCCAATAACTGTTCTGGGCTAGCCCTGCCACCTGCAGTCACTGGGCATCAGCACTCTCAAACTGCATAGCAGGTACTCCATGTCTTATTGAATAGTCCATCTTTGCAATCATTTTCAGCAAAAATATTCCATAAAGGCTCAACACACAATGTCCCTAGAAGCAGCAGTATTTTTATAGAGTAGACATGCAATTTCTTACATTGACAGGTCAGAACTGTAGATTTTCTGCAGTTGCCTCTAGAGCATATTGAGGTATAACTGGAGATACTTTTTTTTACCTTTTTTTTTGGTGCTAGGAGATAACACATTACAATCCTGTTGAGGGAAAAGTTCATAAGACCATTTTTATCAATTGGAAATAGGAAATTAAAGTTTGGGTAAAATTTATTTGAAAAATCATAATAAATTTATTTGATGAAACACTTATTTTACAGGCAATTAGAACACAATTTGGGTTTGGACTGTTGTCTTAAGGCTCATTGACTTTATTTAGAGAAGCACCATCTCTTCATCACATATCTGAGTATCCCCTGAGCAGACAATAAGTTTTGTTCTGCTAACAGGAACCCTTTGGCACATTAGCAGCTGGAGCAGCTCTTCCAGTGCAGGGGTTCTGTGAGCCTCTGCTGAGATGGGGCTATATGTGACTGGATGTGGAAGGGCCTATCACTATCACTTTAATATTTTGAGAAAATAGCATTATTTTATGCTCACCTGCACACTTGCTGCAACAGTAAGGTGGAAGAAAATGATTGATGGCTGGGATTCAGAGCAAGGATAATGATGAATAATGCAAGGAATGTAACTCAGCACTGAGTTAGATTATGGATTTATCTTTCAGGTATTAGAACTCTTACAGAAATGTCCATTTACTTTTTGTTTATAACCACATTGGGCAATGCCTTCACCAGGGGAAGACAGCCTCTGGGGAAGTTCATCTACCATTTTGTGAAAGAACAAAAGATAATTGTTGTGTTACATTCATGCTTTGCTGCATTTGTATGTGTGCTTGTGCAGTTATATATCTGAATGTGTGCATACACAAAAACACTCATATACACAAAAGAAGAAACACAATTTTATGAAACCAAATTTAAAATGTTTTTCGTCTGTTTCTATTTGTGAAATATATTGAAGAAACAAAAAAATTTTATGTATACAACATGAAGAAAAACATTTTGTTCTTTATAATAAAAGAAATTTAACAAGACGGATTATCTCAATTTCAATCAAAATTTGTGGTTTTTTTCAACCCAAGTTGCAAAAATATAAAGCTCCAGGACTTTATCTCTTTCCTGTCTTTGAATGTTTTTGTGCCTAGTTTCCTTCTCTAGTCCTTTATTCATGTTAATATAACTTTACAGCTCCAGCCTAGGATGGCCTCTCTCCTTCCACCCATCTGCCATGGGAGCTGGAGAAGTGCTGGACACAGGACAGCACATGACTGCCAGCCTTTAAAACACCACACTCTGCTCCTCTCTCCCTCCTCCATGTCTCATCTGGAAAAGTACTTTCTGCACTACAAAAGTGAAGTGCTTACAGAAATGGGATCATAGAGTCCTAATGTGAGCAATGTTTAACTCTATCCTTCACCCCTCCTAAACTCATGTCCAGCACAGTCAGTCAAACTACTTTTCAATTGCTCATCATATTTTCCCAACAGAAGAATACTGAAATGTTGCTGGATGTTCATCGATATTGGTTCAAGGACATAGGGAGTGGTGAAAAACCAGCATCAATATAAAGAAGCAAATATAATCCTCATTTGTTTCTGAGTCATAGCAGACCTTATTCAAACCCTCCAGCTACCACTTGACACAACAACCTCCACTAGAAAGCTTCATGCTGTGGCTTATGTAACCCATTTGCTTTTGATTGGCCTTTTCCAGATGTTACTTTATCTCAGTCATCTCAGAATTTGTCTGAAGAATTTGCTGAGGCTGCACGACAGCTTAAAAAAGAAGCTCCAACAATCCAGTTTGGCAAAATGGATGTGACCCACCAACACGACTTGAGAAAAGAATTTAATATTCAAGCCTTTCCTACTGTGAAGTTCTTTGTGAATGGCAGCAGGGAAGATCCCATAGACTGCAAAGGTAATCTGTCTCATGCACTGATAAGACAATAATATGTAATGA